TTAAAGATTTCTCATATACATATATATTTTTTAGTTATTTACTCTCGACTCGGATTTAACTTGGCAGTTATTTATAGCTTCAGACACTAACTGCCTTGAAACTGGGAATACTGATCCAGAAACAGGATAATAACTAAGCACGTAAAGCTAACAGTTATTACTCCTCGTGGACTGACAACGAAATGTCATTATCATTTTAGCCGCTTAACACGCTTATACTCGTAATCTTTTATTACTTGTTACTGTAGTAGTACTTGGAGTAACTTAAATCATGTTTTCATCTGAGGTAATGAAATCAAATATCATTCTTAAAATAATCGTGAATAGTAATCTCGTTCCAAATAGCCGCGGCTTCACGAACTAATTAGTCTTTTGTATTATTCACAATTTATTACGCGTACTGCTTGAGAGGATTAGCTAGTTTACACAATTTTTTTTTTGGTGTAGAAGTATAACAGAAGTTCCGTTTTGGAATCGCAAATCTTAATTGAAAAAGAAAACCTCTTAAAAGCAGGTTTGTTAATGCATGAAAACATTGATTCTATTCTTCGGCATCCATTGTTTTAAGATAACTTAAGTACTTTAATAATTATTTTGTTATTTAAATGTCAGAGTTACTTAGTCAAACGTTTTTCTTGACGGCATTATTAACAAATAAGTACATATAATAAATCACCTACACCATATTTAAGCTTTATCTGATTTCAACTTCATTAGGTTCTATCTGACCTTCACAACATGCGCGATGAAAATGCAGGTTTATTAAAACTTAACCCCACTGTTGGAATTTGCCAAGGATATTATTTGCCAAGGCTGTTTATAACACAACGTGAAAATGCACGATATGCGCATGGGGTAACTGCAGCAACAATATGTACGTTTCAAGCTAACGGATTTCAAATTTCTGTAATTATTTTATCAGTTTATCTTTGATTGGAATGGAAAAATTATTACAATAATCCGGTACCAGTACTTAAGATTCGGGCCCTACTGAAGTTTCGATATTTTAACCAATGAAGGTAAGGTTTCTAAGTTTCTGATCTACCCTGTTGTGGCATGTCCTCACTCTTAAAATCAGTAAGACGTCTTGCAGCAAAATAATAATTATTAATATAGAAAAAGATTGAAATAATCTGGACGGCTATCTTATGTATTATTTAACATAGTAGGTGTGTATTGTTTATTTATTATTTTCTTAACTTGTTTGCTATTGCGTCACACTGAAGCGGCTGTACAAATAAGGGTGTGGGTAAAACAACATGAATAGATTCTATCATTTTATTGACATGTAGTCACGATAAGTGCCAGTGTGTGACTATGTTTTGTTATTCAGTAAAGCTTTTACAGTTGAACTTTTTTGAAATGGCATGCAATTGATTTCTGATCTAAATCAACTTACGGTTCTTTGACTCAAAATCCGGTGAATTTAATGTACTTGTTCTGTTTCTATGCCTGTCTTTCAAGTCTAGGGTGGAAATCATGGACGGAAATAGGGCGTTAGCATATATTTGATTACTCGCATTACTCACATGCATAAGTAAATATAAAGGGTGACTTGCAAAAACACTTTTAACAATGCTGTTTTTCTTTAAATTATTTACTTTACGTACCCACTATACTGCTAAAAGTAATAAACTAATATTATTTTACCAACAATGGGCATCTGTTGGGAGTGTTTATACATGTGATCGATGTAATTTGTTCAAAGATTAATTAATTGAAATGAAAGGCTCGACATCGGTATAAAACAGTTGATCCATTGAAAGCAGCTGACAAATGATTTTCCCGCTATGTGTTTAAGTACAACGGGACACTTTAGTATGGTGATTATATCATAGAAATGTGATAATGTATTTAATAACCGATATTACGTATTGAATATCGATACGGACTCTCAGATCTTTAAACTATCATGACTTGATTATATTAAAAATTAATTCCAAGTGTATAAGTACATATTAAAGGAGCCACGGCGCATCGAAGCAAAGAAGTGACATGTGGCGGCACATGTCGTTACCGACGGCTGTTTTGTATTTGATTTCCGGTCTATTCGAACTTGAGCTACTTTTCATATAGAATGCGGTTTGTGTCAGGTTTCATTTCAAATCTATTATTTTTTGTAAAAATCAATTAATAAATTACAAGAAACAAACCCTAATCAATTGTCTCTGTTATTTTTTTATTGTGCAGCACATTTCTGGCCCTTTTATACCTTAAGTAAAATACCACTTCATATCTCAACATGACACAATCAATATATTCGAACCGAGACGTCATAAGGATTGATACGATAAAATTCTCGTAATCGATTAAGTGTTTTATTGCATTTTTATCATTGTTGTCCAAATATATTTATTTAGTTTTCATTAGATGTTTTAGTGCATGTGGCAGTCTACACAACAGAGATTAATCATTCAGTCAGAAGACCAGTCAGAATTTTTCCTGAGGGTATGGAACGAAATTGAAAATTTATTCACATATAGTGGATATTTCTCATTACACGGAACCTTGTTACAATAAATAGTACGTATACTCCACAAGTTTAAACGGCGTGACAGCTGTAAGGTATCGTACTTGGATAAGTTCTACAACAACTTGAACTTGCCTACGTCATTCCAGGTGATTTTTTTTCCTGCGGGTATGGAAACGAAATTGAAAATTTACTGAGACGAAGAAAGTCGTATATTATATTTCGTTGAAACTTTTTTCAAAGCAAATCTATTTTTATAGATACATAGTTATTAGTATTACAAAGTTGTTACTAAAAAGACTACGAGTAGACACTGCAGTGCTTACAGCTGGATTTTGTTGAAGAAGAATATACTTATTATAATATTCTGATAAACTATCTAGACAGCTATTGATGATGGAAGCCTCATCAATAGCTGTCTAGATAGTTTACTTATGTGTATAAATGTACTATTTAATCATTGTTATAATAAATACACAATAGACGACTTATTCGGGATTTAACTTTATAATAGTATATAAATAGCACTACCTTCAATAGTAATAATTTACTAAATAATTTTCAGTAGTAAGTAATAAAATACTACTAAGATTGTAAAATGAAACTGATAAAAATATTAATTAGTTTTTCACATGAAAGATTCATCCTTGCAAGTCACAACAAAAGGTATATACTCGTAATTTTATTAAAAACATTGATTAAGTATCAACTATCGACGAAGGCCTGATAATATTTTCTAATCCTTCCATTAGACAAAACGTTACCACACGCACGACGCGTGTGTCGCACAACCATTGGAGTATTACCCGATCCTGCACTTCTTTCGCTGATATAGATTAATAAGTATGATTTTTATTTATACACTTTCCTGGACTGTAGCTATCTTGTAACGAATGTTTAAATTGAATAATAATTATAATAACCAGTAAACTTGACTGTTGGACCGGGGCGGCATTACTCAATGAATGAATTACCTTAATTTGGAGTTGGTTGTAAGGCTCTACGTAGCAGATAAAACCAAATCTTTTGAATACGGAAATGGATACTATTAGTGCTTCACATCTTTATATTAGATAAATCGCAATATTGCTATTGATATGTTTTTAGTTACAAAAAATAATATAAGAAATGGTGTTCTGCCAATTGCTATACCAAAATAATTGGTTGGTATTATGTCCTTAAATTATTTTACTTTGTAAATATTATCAAATTTAAGGCAATATATATACTTATACAGAATATGTCAATTCTATTAAGTGAATTGGGGAATGAAATACATCGTTAATATGGCTATCAATTAATGAAATGAATGAAATATCGATGACAGTTTTAAGATCGTACTAATGTTTTAGTATGAATGAAGTTCCATATGGCTTCGTAAAGGTTAAAGAACAATTTATTTAACGCGAATGTTGTTTTGTATAGAAATTAGTTGTTCTGTTGAGACTGCACGTGCAGTGAATGCACTTATAGTACATGTATTTCAAATCTCTGATTTTTTCACAAAAAATGCGTGAAAATACATTGTAGTTATGCGAGTAGTAGTTACTAAAATCAGAACACATATAGTTTAAAAAGGGTGCCTATAATTAAAAACAGTAATTTGTAATAGTCGTGAAATAAACTTTAAATTTGACTACAAACTAGAGTCTTTAAAGTTTTAAGTTTCTTATTAGTTCTCTAAATGAAAAAAAATTTACAAATTAAACATACCTTTTATTGTAATTTGTATTAACAACCAAAAATACAAGTAAATCTTTACTTAAGATGTAGGTAGTAAATTAATAGTCTCAAAACGGACCTAGCTACTTGCTGTTTATCAGGTTGCCCCTATAAAGTTGTGTACTAATTATACTCAATTATATAAAACTAAAGCGTTTTGTTTATTTCACTGATTATCCAATTACAATGTGTTACAGTTGCAAATATTTACAACTAATTTAACGATAGAAACATACAATATGAGATCACATGTTATATCATATAGGTTTGTTTTTTAATATAGAAAAGTTGTTTTGATCAGAGAGACAATATAAATACGAGTTGGTTGCAAATAATGCGCTCTTTTTTCAAAATCAATTTATCTTTGATAACAGTACGAGTACAATAGCTAATAGGCGTCTGGGACATATATTACTTAACCGTAAAAAAGTTCCGGGTGCGATGTAACTAACAGAGGTTAGTCGAATATATTGTTATCGGTAAACAGGCGAGTGATACTCGGAAATAGTTTTCCTTTGTGGAATTTGATCTTTTGTAAAGAAGCAGGCAATTCTCTATTCAACTTTACCCAAGAGATACGATAGTCTGTTGCTAGAGCTAACTGCTGTAATGGACCGGGTATTTCTTACAAGCATTTTCATTTTACTCTTAAAGTCATTTCGCATATTCTTATTAAAAAAGGTGCTCTAAGTATTAGCTTATGAGTGAGTTACTTTCAACTTGCTCAGATATGGGCATGCTTACCTACCTTGTATATAAATGTTAAATATTCGGACTAGTTTAAAAGCCATCTGAAGTAAAAGAGGTTCTAAGAGTAAAGTAAAGCTAACAAAGTACTCACCACCTTCTCCTCGAGGATTTCATTGTTGTTATTGTTGCTCCCATACTTTAAGGCACCGTTTTCCATGACCACAACTGATCGACGTGTATTTAATTTTATTGTTAACACTATGCGTCTTCATTTAATAAACATTTTACTAGTATATATATGTTAAATGATATCGTTAAATACATTGTCCTTATGTTAATAAAAAAATACTCAATACGTTTGATATATGGTTTTGGTTATCTTATTTTCAAATTGTCTGCGCACCTGAAAGTTAAAGTAACGGATGGTTACAAAAATATGATTTATTTAAGTTTCAAATAAGAACTACTTTGTTTGTTTTAGGAGTAAAGTCAACTTATTACTTTTAGGCTTTGGGTATAAACAAAAATAAAAGATGGTTGGTGTCTTTAGTTTTTATACACGATACCTTTTTCATGCAAAAAGTTTTGAAAATTATATAATTATTAGATAAGTTATTATATACATATATACTATAAATTAGATCAGTTTTAAAACAGAGTTCAGTATAAAGTTTTCGTGCGTTTGGTCGTTATATATGATACGTTTTTATTCAAAACCAGATTACCTTCGTTTTTTAGCGACACGCCAGACTGAAATAATGACAGACGTTACATAATTGAACTGATATTTCATATGACATCCGTTGCTACGATACTTTTCTTTGTAAACACATTTCTTTGTTAGCGAAATCAGTAGAATAAAAGTTCTTAGAATTATGTATTAATGAGTCATAAGCCTTTAATATTGCACCAGTGCAACTTTTTAATTTAATTAGTTAGTCTCAAACTTAACTGTTGTACCTACATTCACTTTTGTAAAAGTTTTACGTTCGGTATAAAAAAAAATCCTATTGGTTTATTCTTTTTATATTTAAAGGCACGATTAGATTAGGACACATGATGTATACTTAATAGTATAATATAATGCAGTTTGTTAACATCGTGTCGGGTTATTGCAGCGAAGCGCGCTACGTACGGGGCGGGCGATTCGCGGGCCGCGTCATACTGCGGCGGGCGCGTGGCGCGCGCGGCTTCCAATGCGCCCCGTGTTGCCGCGCGGCGCATACCCGCACTCTGTCACCCGCCATCGCCCACCACACACCGCCATGGTGAGCTGCCGTGCCCGAACCACCGCTACCGATACGCACCATCGTTTATTATTGACAGACGACCTTGCCCCACATTATATTTCCTCCACTAAAGGGATTTTGTGGGTCAATAATGGACGGATGTTGAACATTTGTGTTAAGTGGGAAACAATGACTGGCTTGATTGACCCCATCTAAAATAAAGTGAAAGTATTTTTGCCACTTTGATTATTAATATTTGCTTGTCAATAAGAAGTTTAAATTTGTTTCAACAAAAAGTTTTTCTTCAAGTTTTTGGCCCAAGTTTTGAAAAGCATATGTAACGAATCAAACTACTCCGTAGGCAACTTTAGAATTTTAAAATATCAAATAAAACTTGTGAAACAAAGTAATAGTACCAACAATACAATTCTTAGTCAACAACACATATCAATCAATACATATATGTATAAATACTTCCAGGTCATTTGATAGTGAACCAACCTATAATATGTATAATTGTTTAGGAATGTTTATGGGGTTTTCTTTAAACAATTTGCAAAGTTTTGCTCCGTATGCGAGGTTTTTATTAAATGATATTTAAGTATGCAAACACTACCAACAAATTAATGTACACATTGCAAACGGTTATTAGTTATTGAAGGATGAAACGCATTTAGAGAACTGTAAGTCCTCCAGGGCCAGCTCTTTTTAAGGGCTAATAAATTATTAGTTTATCTTACACATGATTTTTCATCAAACAAGAATTGTGTAATTAGGTAACATAAGCGGATATTAAGTATGTACATCTATCAAAGAATTCGGAAATTGAATTTCTTTGGAAACAATCTTTTAGACAGTTCCTTTCGCGTAATGGCCAAGGAGTGCCTCGCGCCCGACTCTAATCCCTAACCCATTAAACAATCTATGTCAACCGCGTTTTAACTCGTAACAAAAATATTAAGCTTTGTTGTAGAAGGAAATAGTAATGCTGAAGTTATACTTATGTCTTAGAACAATGTTCAAACATGCATCAGTGTCATTGGAGTTTTAGAATTAATTATGTAGGTACCTTGCCAGGGTCAAAATAAAAACAGTCCTTTTAATTTGACGATAAGATAGGACAAGGGTCAGGATAGGGTTAGTCTGTTTTTTTTTTTTTTTTAGGCTGGTAAATTGTTTGAGAGGGTTCTCTCTGCCCCCATCGTCCGGCACCTTTACGAGGTGGGCCCGATCTGTCGGACGCCCAATTTGGTTTTCGGGCGGGGCGTTCGATAGTCGACGCTGTTTTGCGCCTGAGGGCCGTGACCGAAGAGGCCGTGAGCTGTGGCGGCGTGCTGTTGGCGGTGTCATTGGACATCGCCAACGCATTCAATAGTCTGCCATTCAGCTGCATCAGGGAAGCACTCCACTATCATGGGGTGCCAACGTACCTGAGACGGCTAGTGGCAGACTATTTAGAGGAGCGTACCGTCGTGTGCGAGGACCGAGATGGTAATTCGAAGTGTCGGCTCATGTCGTGCGGTGTTCCACAGGGGTCTGTTCTTGGACCCCTCTTGTGGAACATAGGGTACGACTGGGCCCTTCGGCCCGATTTCCCCCCCGGGCTGGGTTTAATTTGTTACGCAGATGATACTCTGGTGACAGCCTGGGGGGGGAACTTCCAAGAGGCGGCGCGCCTGGCCACAAGGGGAGTCTCCCTGGTGGTCGGGCGCATTGAGGCGCTGGGCTTACGATATAAGATAAGACGGAGGCTCTCTTATTTCATGGGTCCCGTCGTGGTCCACCCCTGGCGCCTCAATCGTGGTCAACTCGGTCCTCGTACCGGTTCGGGCCCAGATGAAATATCTGGGCCTGATCCTCGACGGGAGGTGGCTCTTTGACGAGCACTTCCGACAGCTTGCTCCAAAGCTGGTCGGCGCTGCGTCTGCCCTAGGGCGACTTTTGCCCAATTTGGGTGGACCCAGCGTCGCGACAAGACGGCTGTACACGGTGGTTGTCCGGTCAATGGCACTATACGGTGCACCGGTGTGGGCGGCGGCTCTGGCGCCCTCAGAGGGTAATGGCGGTCAGAGCCATACGCAGTTACCGCATCGTTTCGACGAAGGTGGCTTGCGCGTTGGCTGGAACTCCCCCGTGGGATTTGGAGGCGGAAGTGCTCCCCGAAGTTTATCGGCGAGTGGCTGACTCCCGGGCGGAGAGCGGATTTCGCCCTCCGCCCGAAGACGTGCGCGAGTGGCGCGAAGCCGCTCGCCGAGCCACGATGGCTCGTTGGTCGTTCCGGCTGGAGACTCCACGCGCTGGCTTCGCCGCCGTGTAGGCTCTCCAGCCGGTCATCGCCGAGTGGGCAGGGTGGCAGCACGGGACCCTTACCTTCCGGCTGACGCAGGTGCTTTCCGGGCACGGTTGCTTCGGAAAGTACCTGCACTCGGTCGCTAGGAGGGAACTGAGTCCCGCCTGCCACCACTGCGACTGCAGTAAGGACTCGGCCCAGCACACGCTGGCGGTCTGCCCCGCATGGGCGACGCAGCGCCGGGCCCTCACTGCAGTCATCGGAGTGGATCTCTCGCTACCGGCCGTAGTACGCTCCATGGCCGGTAGCGACAGTTGTTTTACCGCGGTCGCAAAATTCTGCGAGGAAGTAATCTCGCAGAAGGAGGCGGCGGAGAAGACCCGGGAGGACGACCTCCACTCGGACCCGATCCGCCGCCGGCGAACCGGGCGGCGGAGGCGCGCTTATCACCGCCCCAAGGCCCCCTGAGTGTGGCCGCGGGTGGACGGGGTGGGTTTCCCCTCCACCCGCATTAGTTTGGCCAGCCAGGAGGGGGCGGCGTCCGCGTGTACCGGACGTCGCCTAAAGAGAGGAAAATTTTGAGACGGAGCCCGCAACAGGAGCGGGCCGGCGCTAGGAGGGGTCCGGATGTCTTAATAACAGCTGTTCCCCGATCCCTCCTATTACAGGCGCAGAGTGGCACACCGTGTGGTTTTAGTCGGTCCGAGTCCGACACACCACCCCGCCGCAAACCCCGGTGGGGTGACGGTCCGAGGGGATTAGTCTGGTTTTAGATTACATCAGATGCTGAAAAATCTTTAGTCTAGAGCAGATGTGAGCTGATAAATAAATCTTATCTTGTGTCCCTAACGTGTTCCAGCGAGAGATTATCTCCTTTTAGTCTAGCGGAGGTACCAGTTGACAAATAAATATTGTCTTGTATACCTCTGTAAACAAATCCTATAAGTCAATTCTAATCTACTTTATTTTTCGTTTCCTATTAAACTTTTTATGTATATGTAGCTTGGATTACGTTACTATAATTTGGCATCTTGAAGCTGATCTAATAATAGAGCTAGGAGGTGAATATTGAAACTTGTTTTTACTATTTATTTTTGATCGATATTAAAGCTTGCTTTGGTAGTTCTTGTATAAGTTGTAATTACACAAGTAAACTACCCGCCTGGTGGTAATCGATTAACGGTGCCTAGAAACATTTGACTCAAACAGCCGGGTGACTTGTAGGTGAATTGCCAACCCTATTTGACATATATATTGAATAAAAGAGCTCTATTGACCCTACTCACAAGCAGAAAAGGGCAGAACTTGCTGGTAACTGCCTCACCCTATTCTTTTTCTCTTTGAAAGGAATACGAATAGTTAAATCATAACCATCTTTATTAGTTATGTTTTAGTTGCCTTCACGTTCTATATCTACAAAGGGTCAGTAGCATGTACAAATACAATGCCGGTGGTTTCTTAGGTGTCCATTGGTTACTATAAAACCCTAAAATTCCACAAATCGAATACATCTATTCTACCATAATAAAAACAAAACTTGAATGTATAAGTCGTAGTTGCGTGTCTGACGTGAGTCACAAATTTAAGTGTCGCTAGTGGGTAGCTTTAGTGGATGCCGTTATTATATGTCAAAAAATTAACTTTCTAATAATTGTGTATCCCGATGGTCAAAATTTATTTACAACCATTATTGAAAATGGTGAAAATCATGTATGAATTCATGTGTTTCTAAGTTCTTTTTCTAATTTTATAACACAAACTCTAAATATTTTCAAGTGCAGATATAGGTAACCCCGATAGTCATATCTGCTCGTAGATTTTTTTCATTAATCATCGAATCGAATACATGTTCCTCATATCTGCAATCTCGTGAGACAAATATTATGTTTTATGTTTATCTTTTTCAACTTACGAGATTTTCGTTATGAGGAACGGTGACATCGAGTCATCATTCCATGGCGTCCATTCCATTCTCCAATCACATTCACTATCTTTCTTGTTCTGCCTGACCTCTCTGTGTTATTATTATTAGCTTATTAATACAGACTAAACAAAAGAAAAACGAACGTTAACAAACAGCGAAAGATAGAGACGCGTTGCCACAACGCATTACGTGATACATGCGTCGCCACTTCATGCGTGGTGACACACGCCGTGGCGACACATCGCTACGCCTACAGCGTTACACATCAATAGTTGTTGTTCCAGAAAGATTATAAATGCGGATCATATTTGATACCTTAGCATTAATACGTTAACTTAGCCTATTTATGGATTACATCATTTTTGCACAACTCTATTTATTACATTCCTTTAACACAACAACTTTAAAGGGGCATGGTATGCAATACGTAGGAGTAGAAGCACTTATAGCGTTATAGTAAGGGATAAGTGTTACTCATCGTTCAGTCTTCGATCCGATTAGGAACGACGTTACATCATTTTATTCAATTACAGTCCTACTTCACGTATCTTTCTATTGCTGTCAGAACTATTATCTTATGATTTCTATTTGATGGTAAATAAACTTCTACAGTATTGCTTCATTTAAATTTGTGATGTACATACATGTTATTATGAATCAAAAGAAACAACTGCCAAAATCATTTTTTGATTGTTTTCAAAAGATTACTGGCAATGTGATTGGAAAAAAAATTAACATAGGGATTCACCCAGTAAACCTGTAAAATCAGGTTTAAAAATACGATATTGGAGAAATGGTTATATTTTTGTCACAACTTATACAACCAGGCATAAATGGAAAGACATTAAGCTATTTTATTGATTTTCACAGACAAGTAGAAATTGAACTAATTTTTGATTGGAATTAAAATAAAATTTTCATGAGCTAACAAAACTACAAAAACACTTTTTAAAGATTAAATTCTGATTACTTAGCAAGTTGTTTGCTTAGTAATCGTAGCTGATGTCGTAGCATATGTTCAAGTTCAAGTAAACGGGGTCGCCAAAGTTTTTTCTTTTAGGCCCGTATTTTAAAAGGTGTCTCAGTCGTGAATCTAATCTTAAGAATAATATGAAGTAGAGATTTTATGTCCCAAAAATACCCTAGACATCATTCAGGGCATTTTAGGTGAAATGAATGTGTTGTACGATGATTTGTAATTACGAAAGATGTACTTTACTTTATTTACGAAAGAATTACTTGTTATACTAAAATCAATTCACTTTACTTTAATTGATTTTAAATTTACTGAAATTCATAAGTTACATACACAATACTTGTTTAAATTAAAATCACCACAACCTTTTGGTTTATGTTAAAAGTATAATATTATTCTAGTAATATAAATTTTATAAATGTAAAAATAATAACATTGATTGACATTTAAATATGACAAGTATTGATAAATAACTTGAACGTTCCGTTATAGCCTATATACTTATACTCTTTTTTTTAACCCATTAGAAGTCAGTGTACCCAATTGAGTACAGCCATATCCCTGAATGTCAATCAAACAACTTGTGAAATTTAAGGGGACTACTTTGTTACTTTATTTATTCATAATACTGTTCAGGTATTTTGAAAAGCGTTACGCGGGTAGTTTTTTAGGTTTTGCCAAAAAGTGTCAGTTGAAGATGTCACCAAAACCCTGTGGAGGTAAGTAAATGATTAGAGATTTTTTAAAGTAATTTATGCTTATAAGTTATTTTTTTATTTCATTGGTATAAAATAAATGACAGTGGAAGTTATAATAAACAATACAATCAATGATTCATTACTAAAATAAAACTGCGGTCATGTAAATGTTACTGTACTCGGTTGAGTACAGTGACAACATAACTAATTGAAATAACGGTTTTTTTTCAGAATGGAGAAAGAGACATAAACATCTCAAACGAGCTACAGGGGCCTTCACGAAGCTATTGTACAGAAAAGCAATGATGATGACTGTGACTTGGCTGTCATACCTCCTGATCCAAGTGCGTTGCCTGATGAACTGATAAGTTGACTGATAGGGATATGGCAGCGTGTTTGATACCGCAAGACGTACCTGGTACTATTGAGGTATTTATGAATCGAGAGGGTAGTGGTGACGAAGATAGTGTGTGCGACGATAGTGGTGATAAGCCACTGGCGGCAAAAAGAAGTCGACAAGATCCATTTATTCCGAAGCCGAACCCAAACTGGCGAAAATGTATCCCTTCATCCCAAAAAATTCTCAGAATACTTCCGAAGTCAGTGATGAGAAAAAATTGTGATGAACTGAAGGTCCTCAACCCTGTACAAATATAGACAAATATCTTGATGCTAATATTGTTGATGTGATTATATCTAATAGTATAATATATGCTAATCAACATAATCGAAATAAGTTTCAATAAGATTTATCAGATCTATCACGGTACCAAACGACAAAATGTTAAAATAAGACCATTTGCAAACTTATGCAGAATTTTTACAGTGGGAAGTGTTTCATGATAGTATCGCTCGCCAAGACTCTATTCCTAAAAATATTAATATTGATCTACTTAATAAACACTTCTCCGCTTCGTCTGATATTAATGACAAAACTAAAGCCAGTACTCTTAAATAGATTTCTTCTACCCCAGACCCTGACTATTCACCATTCGTCTTTGATCAATTGTCTGATTGTGATGTTAAGAAGACCATTCTAGCGATTTCATCGAATGCAGTAGGAGGTGACCGTATTAGCTGAAACATGATTCTTCCTATCTTTGACGAAATCCTACCCATCCTATGTAATATCCTGAATCACTCCATGACAAGTGGTATTCTTCCGTCTACGTGGAAAGATCCTCAAATAATCCCTCTACCTAAAAAAGCTAAACCCTCATCATTTTCTGACTTTCGGCCCATATCTATTTTACTTTTCCTATCTAAAGTACTCGAACGCCTCATCCACTCTCAACTGAGTAACTTCCTATCCAAAAACTTTACTGAACCCCTTCCAATCCGGCTTTCGTCCTGGTCTCAGCACGACTTCTGCACTTTTAAGCTGAGTTATTACTTTTAAGCAGGCAATGACTTTTAAGAATTATATTCTCATAACCACATTTTTTTTCAAGAAGCAGAGACATATAATATTTAAAACCAACCTTGGTAGATTATTTGAAACATTGTACAAGATTATTACATTATCTAGTATTCATATTCCAAAAACTAAATTATACATTTATAATTATAGACTACATCTAGAGGTCGAATTTCGATCGTCGGAATGCCTTGTCTTATTTCGTTTACTTATGATAACTTGAACTCTTACTGTATACCTAAGCTTTTGAATCAAAATAAAAATATTTAATAATTTATAATTGTTTTAGAAAATTATTGCAAAAGCTTACGTAAAACTATATGTTTTGACATGTCATGGTACAAAAACCTAAAAGTATAATGTCAGTTTAAGATATCACACAAAACAGTACATTCAAAATGGTCAAATTTCGACCGCTAGGTAATCTTTAGTTTATTTAAAAAGGGATTCAAAAAGTTTTCTTCACCTCTGACGAGTACGACGTCTTGTACAAAATGAACACTAATAAATACTCAGTACGAGTATAGCTGCCATAAGTACCACCTATGCATGACATGACAAATTTAATATAACTCTAAAGCATGACGAAAATTACAGTGAGTAATCTAATATTTATCATATCAATTAAGGGATAACAGTGCTTACGAAAAACGTGTTATCAATGTCTAAAAGATAAGTCAAAATATCTCTCTATATAAGATATAATAACATGTAATACCTGTAAGAAGACACGATGCTGAAACGTGTATGTTTTTTGTGATAGTAAATATTTAATAGAGAAAATTCCTAGACTTACTAATTTTATAAATATAAAAAATTAGAAAATACAAACTAACTAAAATTACTAGATTTGTGGTGTGAGTAAGACTCCAAATGTTATATACATATACTGTGTTATTGTCTCTTCATCAACAGATGCTTTTTGAACGAGATTCGCGTATAAAATCTGTGATAGCATCCTATACTAGACATACCGTGCAAGAGCACTTTAAATCACAATTAGAAACAGGAGTCTATTTATAACATTTCGACAAAAGTTGTATGAATCGCAGCAACACATCAGAAGTCAGCACAAGGGTATTTTAATTGCAAGACTTAAACAACCCTTTGCAAACGTTCTATATTCGAATTAGCTTCCGAATTCGTATTTACTAATTGTTTTCACTTTCCTGCACCCTTATGTATTCGGCAAAATGAAGGTCGATTACAGGTTTAATTTAAATGCACAAACCATTCAGTTTTATGTTAATACTTATTATGTTTCGTTTTATCTGTTTTATTCGCGAGCTTCGCTTGTGTGTCGCCTTCCTACCGCTGTTATTTTTTCCATAAGTTACGTTATGGTACGGTTACATTCAGTTGACCGTCCCTCGCTTCGCTTTAAACATGATAAAAACAACATACAAAATTAAAGTACTCTTTATGTCCTACCCGTGGAAATTTTTTGAACAATTGGTAGTATCGATTTTTTTACGTATAATTATTTTAGCTTATACATCCTTTAATATGTGTAAACACATAATGTAGTGATTGTGTTGTATGTGACGACACGTGGGTTTACGAGTTTAACATGCAAACTAGTCAACAAGCTTCAGAGTTGCGCCATCCAACTGAACCGAAACCGAAAAAACCACGCCAAAGTCGATCAAAAGTCAAAGTCATGTTGACTGTTTTCTTTGACTATCGCGGTGTTGTGCACTTGAAATTCTTGCCGGCAGTCAAACGGAAAATAAAAAATATTATTTGAGCGTTATGCGGCATTTAAGAGAGCAAATTCGACGAAAAAGGCCAGATTTGTGGAAAGAAAATTCTTGGATTTTGTACCACGATAATGCGCCTTCGCACAAGGCCATAACTGTGAAACACTCAACAAATACCATCGAGCAATCACCATATTCACCAGATATGGCTCCAGCCGACTTCTTTCTTTTTCCTAAACTTAAATTACCACTTCGTGGCACCCGTTTTCAATCGGTAGAAGACATAAAGGAGAATTCGCGGCGAGAACTGAACTCAATTCCGGAAACAGCGTTTAAAAAATGTTTTGATGATTGTATTATGTGTTGGCGTAAGTGTATCGTTTCTGAAGGAGCATACTTTGAAGGTGATAAAATAAATTTGGATGAATAACAAACATTTTGTGTTTTATTGATCTTTTCGCGGTACTTTCTTGACAGAGTAGTATAATCCATTAGTTTGTTTTAATTTTACAGAAGTTAAATTCGTTTTACAAAACTTGAGTAGTCATTTACCTATGTAACAGTTTACTTAATATTTTTACAAAAACATTAAAAGGAAAATATGGAAACCACGATTTCGTAGCTTGGTTAAAAAAATGTAAAGTAGTGTTGTGTGTGTATACGTGTATGTGTGCATGTGCTGCGTACATGTGGGCGTATATGCAGCGCAAACGTTTCTATACTCGCTTATCTGTGTATCTATTTTAATAGTTTTTGTTGTTTTTCGATCATTTTGTAGTTGTAATCATCATGAGAACTTTCGCTCGCATAAAAACCTGAGTGGCTTAATATTTTTTAATAATGTAAATTGGAAGCATTTTGGTCAATAAAAGAAAAAGAAATAACTTAATTTAAGCATATGACATAAGCATAAAGCAATATCGCCTATGTATAAATTTTATAAGTAAGTAAGATGACAAACTTATGAAAATTATAGATAGCCGGTAGTAACCATACAAAACTGTTTAGTCTCACGATTTATTGACATAATTACTTCTAATTATTCCTTCACTTTGATTAACTAACCTGTATGAGGATGAGAAGTTATGCTATTATTACTAAATTACCAAAAATTTACTAACGAAAAATCAGGAGATGTATTAAATACCGTTAGGTACGCTTTTCAACCCCCATGGAAAATCTATGTGTATCACTATGTCGGTGTATCTGTGTACCTGTGTATCTGCTTGTCTGTGGCATCATAGCTCCCGAACAGAAGGACCAATGTGGATTTTGTTGTTCGAAAGCCGATGTGATACGAGATGGTCCTTAGGTATAAATTTTAAAGATCATCAGTCCCTAGGTGGTGAAGGGATCTCATTTAAATCCACAGGTCCGATGGATCTGAAATTTGGTATACTGTTACTTTGATGATATTTCCACGACATGGTAACCTGCAACTTGCTGCTGCATCAAGTAGTCTGCGAAATAGCCAACTTCTCAGAAAATTAAAGCATATATACCATGTTTAGACTTATTAGAACAGTCTTAATGAGCAGTTGTTCTTTTTAAAGGTTTTTTGTGTGGGGGTTTGTTAGTTTAAGTTTAAGTACAACAGACTGTACATTTAAAGTTTTGGTGTCTCTGACATCATTTTAGGAGTGTTGGGTTATTTATAAAATTATATAATATATTATAAAATTATTGAAGTTTTTTTTAAGGTAGTAGTAGTGTTATAAGTATAACGGTTTTAAATGTATGAATCATCCAAATTAATTTTATTCCCGTTCGCGTTGAAATTCAAAATTGGATCCAAAGTTGTGGAACAAGCAGCGGATCAGCGGAACACCGTGTGATTTCAGTTGGTTCGAGGTCAATATACCTACGTATTTAGCACATTGTTCTAGACTCCGGTGAGATAATGACCAAATTAGCGGATTCCAAGCGACAAAAATTTTTATAAAACTAACTGTACCCTTTTTTTTTGTTTTACTGTGCGAAACCCCTCGGATACCACCCACCAGCGGGTGATTATGTCGGACCCGAACCGACCAAAAACCGCACGCCGTCTCCAGGTACCTACCAGTAGTCGGGGAACCAGGTATACCCAAGAAAGGAAAACCCTGGTACCTCGACGTACTTCGGGCAATCTACGCCTTATACATGACACCCTCCTATGTGGGAACCCGGATGTTATTTTTCTGCCACCGAATGACCACCATCGCGCCGCAACCCACCCAGGCCTGCTTCTGCTAGAGTGACAGATGGCCTCACCTGTTACGCTCGGGCCCGCGATTATGGATAACGGGGATTGTACTGCGAGTCGTCTGAGGTACCTGGCCTGTTCTCGGGCCTGGCGGGCCGGGAGAGAAACTGAAACTCTCACGGTCCTGCGCACGTTGTCACGCACTCTAGCTACGTACCATGACGGCAATCACAGTTACCGAACGAGAGAATTCCCACTCTAACGGCCGCCACGAGGCCACGCCTTTGCTCCACCCACGCCTGGCATTCTGCCAGCGTCTAGAGCGCCGTGTCTTCACAGTGGTGGTACTCAGGCG